GGGGGGGGATTTATTGTGCTTTTGATATGATGTTAATTTAGCAACACCATTTTGAAAGCAAAATCGAGTAAAAGAATTTCAAACGGCTTAATCGAGGAATAATGATTATTCATGAGATGTGAACACAACAGGCATTGATAAGTTCCCAAAGGACTTCCCTTTTACAGGTTCGATTATTGAGCAATGCATTTAGTTCATGTCTTCTTGGTGATGTTACAAAAAAAGGCTGACCCAAAACAAACAGACAGTCAGTAAAGCAAGTGGACTGCAGTTGAAAAGTTATTGTTCTAGCGGGGGCAAATCAAACTGATAATCTAAAAAACTACAAGAAAAAGAAAAAAAGAAACATAGTAGCCTTGGATGCAGGGAACAAATAGGGAAAGTATACAAAGGAGTTCTTGACTTTGCCAAAACTAAAACTTCACACATCATTAAAATTTCATGTCTCATGACTGTGAGAGTGATGTGCTGGGGTCTAAGAGTGCGACCCTAAATTATTGGCATTGGGGTATGAACTTGAGGCAGCCTGTAAAGAGTGTGTGTGTGGGGGTTTGTGTGTGTGTGTGTGTGTGTGTGTGTGTGTGTGTGTGTGTGTGTGGGGGGTTCAAAACGAGAAAGATTTAGAGACGATAGTAACTGGCTTGAGTCCTTCACGCAAAACGATTAAAGTCTAAAACTATATGCAGATGTCAATTGTCCAAGGTTTGTTTATTTTGCGATTGAACCTTTTGGTAGAACCATTGCAGTCTTTTTACGACACATGTGAATGTCTCTGTCCTAGAAGTATTCTTAACTCTCATTAATTATCGTAATCAAGATCGTTCTGGTTCACTATTAATCTGAGAGAAAAAAAAGCAGGTCAATGAGCTTCTGTTGGTGCGGATTTGTAAGAAGTATTTTTGAAATAATGAAAGGAAAGTCCCAAACTCTAAAGTAAAACGGAAATGGAGGGTCTGACTCACAAAACATTTCGAACCGATTCATCCATTCGTGAGCCGCTCAAATAAAATACATGTACAAGAAAAATATCGTACAAACATTTTAGCGCTGGATTTCTGTTGTAAACGCGACGAGAACCAATTAAACAAAGAACGCCACTTACCTCGGCCAATTGAGGAGCCTCAGACGAAGAAGTAAAAATTAATGTGCAATTACTGTAATAGTCCAGAGTGTTTCAGGTCATTGATCGTCGTAGTTCGGAGTCTTCGAGGGTTTCTCACAGCGCGCCCTACGAGCTGTGTCACAGAGAGCTTCTAATCGCGCGGAGACATTTAGCGACTGTGTGAAAGTCCTGCTGGATACAGTGTGTGAGCGAGGGTGCTACTCACTCTCTCAACGAGCTCTTCTCCCTCCCGGGGGCTCACGCGCGACTCATCACAGGAGATGGGAAGGTCGTGGAGACTGAGAAAAATATTACTTGTGATGTGAGTTAGCCAATCAATGGAGGAAACGATTGGCGACGTTTAATGGCGGATGCTGACAAGTCGGGCAAGGATGAGAGAGGAAAAAATCCGGGGAGAATAAATCTATTAGGGACTAAACGAGGCTTGAAATATCCCCGATGAGAGAGAAGGAGGGAGAGGAGGAGTGGAGTGCTCGGTAGGGGGCAACGTGAGCGCTAGATCAGCGTGGCTGGAGCCCCTCTCGTGTCGTGGCAGGGGAACGCACACGGAATCCGGTAGATGAACACCCATCAAATTTGGCGCCGCCGATTGGCGAGAACGATTATCAGTTACACGTAAAGGAGTTGCCTTCTAACAAGTCCCTCCTTCTCAGGGCATGTAAGACGGCGCGGTAGCGCTCCACAAAAACAAAAAGGGAGAATCCCTAGCCCCCCTCCGACAACTGCCGAGCCATTGACAGCGCACTTATCTAGCACACAGCCCCACCTCTTTGCTCCTGATCTCTCGTCCGGGCGGTGCCTTCGTTGGGCCATGAAAATAAATTCATCCATGTCTGATCTCT